CTGAGTAAAAACTCAAAATCACCACTAAAATTGATTTATGGAAGACATATATTTATTTCACTTACCAATACGCTCTGTTATCTTTATGTAAACGATATTTATTTCCTTTCCCTTATCATAAGGAATACAACAAACCGAATGTTTTTTTTTCTTGCAAACGTAACGCAATTATTAAAAACTTCAATTTTTTACAATGATTGAGATGTATCCAAAAAAGAAGCACATGAAGGGACGGAAATAACTTTTTTATAGCTCAAGAATCAGTATTATTGGGATAACTTCAACTGATCAAAATACTATATCACGTACTAGTAAACGAAATAAAACAACTCGCATGAAGTTACTCGACCATTAATATTTCTTAACCTTAGGTTACTTCAGATTTTTTTTTCTTTTTTGCTTTTATTTCTAGACTCGAATGCATTTCTCCATTCTAAGGTGATATTCCTTAGGGATAATTTTTATTTTCTTTCATTATTTTCTAACCCATCTAACGTGTCTGGGACTTTTTTTACCGTACCTTTTCAATTCCGAAATTGGCTCGTGGCATTCAAGGTTGCAGTTAGAAAAATTCTTTTTGATCCTTACTTTTTAGTATTTTTTTTTTTACTCTTGATAAGGCTTTGATTGAAACTGCCATTCGAATGGAAAACTGATCACCTTATTCGGTTTCGTTCACCCATTCTATACATTATGATTAGCTTTCTGGATTTGAAAAATATAAGGAGGGTTTTTTTTTTCTCTGCTCAGGAAGCAAAGAAGCAAGATAAATATTATGGATAGATTCGTATGCATCCGTGAATTTAATTACTATTTTCTTTTTGTATTTTATAGCAATATCCTTGTCGTTGTGACTAGCAGTACGTCATCAGAAATAAATTTTATTTACGCAATATCCGTTCTTACTTTTACTTATAATAAGTCATATGAGTCATAATGCTAAATATTTATATATCTAATCATTTTTCAAGTTTTGATTCAATCTGAAATAACTTTCTTAATTTTTCTTAATAATTTTGAAATTTTCTCAGTATATGACGCAAAAATGTTATCATATATTGATTTATCAATAACAATATATAGCAGCATATACCACTGTTATAATATAAAGATAAGTATTGATCCACACTAATAAACTATCTGCTTAAATTTAATTAATCTAGCTATTTATCTATCTATCTACCTATATATATATATATATATATATATATATATATATATATATATATATATANAATGTGTGTATATATATATATATATATATATATGGAAAAAAAGTTTTATTATTAAGGATTGTATTATAGATTCTGAGGATATCTAAGGAGGACAGATTAGGAGAAACATCAGTGTTCGGAATACCGGTTAAATGCATACTGGGCAGTGGCAATTGACCTTAGAAAACGTTCATGTAGACCACAACGGGCAAATGTATACCGGCCAGTGGCACTTAACTAGATCTAGTGTATATTTCGAATATTTAACGAGGCGACTCTTTGATTGTCAACATTCGCCGGTGAAAGACCACAAGCACCAATTTTGGTCATTCACAGTGACATATATTTTGCGACTCTTATTGTGATCACTTTTTTTACTGCATTTTTGACCAGGGTTCTATTTAGAAATGTGTTGTATGTACTTTAGCGACATTCGTTGTGATCACTTTTTTTACTGCATTTTTGACCAGGATTCTATTTAGAAATGTGTATTATTGTATGTACTTTAGCGACATTCATTGTGATCACTTTCTTTACTGCATTTTTGACCAGGGTTCTATTTAGAAATGTGTATTATTGTAAGTACTTTAGCGACATTCGTTGTGATCCCTTTTGTTACTGCATTTTTGACCAGGGTTCTATTTAGAAATGTGTATTATTGTATGTACTTTAGCGACATTCATTGCGATCATATTTATTACTGTATTTTTGACCAGGGTTCTAGAATGTGTATTATTGTATGTAATTAGGCGACTTTCATTGTGATCACTTTTCTTACTGCATTTTTAACCAGGGCTCTAGAATGCGTATTATTGTATATATTTTGCTTCTTCCATTGCAACCACTTTTTTGAACAGATCTTTAGAAATATGTATTGAATTGGTCATTGCAGAATACTATCAATCTTTGGTAACTGTGGAAGGTCTATGAAAGGAAAAGAAAATTAGGGAAAAGAAATATTTGCTTTAAAATTTGTGATCATGAAATACATTAGACAAGATTTTTTTTCAACTCGAATGTTAGGATTTTAAATCTAAAATAAGTTTTGTTCCTAAAGTATAGCAGATTTTTTTTAAACGAAAAATAACCTTCTACTTTTTTAAAGTTTTTCTACCACGTTTTAAATTGTGCAATATCAAACTACATTATCAATAAACCGTGCTGAAAATGAAATTTGTGAACTGCAGAGTTTTCAGAATGCTTGGTATTTTAAAGCAACTGTGATAAATATATTAAAAAATTAACACAAATATCCTTTAAATAAAAAGGGTTAGGTAATCCCTCACAGATCTTGCTGAGATTACATCTTTCACTTACTTTTTGCACGAAATGCATGGCTATTTAATAAACACACTGTTTTTCAGTTTTGCTACTCTTGTGGAGCCTATTTTCAAGCATTCTGCTTTCAAATAAATTAAAAAATTTGAATTTCGAAATTGAAATTTATGTAGTTCCCTTCTAGCTCCAACCAACGTTTGATTAACTCAAAAAGTTTATTCTAATAAACAAAGCAAATAAAGAAGGAAATTTTCAACTACTTAACCATGTCGCCATAATAAGAAGAACAAAAAAAATCTTAAGAAATCTGATTTAGTATTTCCTTCGAAATGACACAACCGTAGAAACATTTATTAGTGTAAAATAAAGATATTTGAAACTGATGTTTTTGTTTATTTTAAATTTTTTTGAGAAAAAAATTAGTTTTTTTTTCCAATTTCGTGAGACAAACTAAAAAAAATAAAACAATTAAAAAAATATAATAAAAATCTGTCTTCTTACTATGAATTGTATTATTTACATTAATTACTCTTTACATTAATTATTTACCCTTTAGAGTAAATTTTAAAATTATTATATTTCAGTATTTTTCAATATTATATATTTAAATAATACTTAAAAGAAAATGATATGCTGAAATAATATTTAAAGGAAAGTTACAATAAAGTTTTGTACATGCAAGATATCTTTTTTTATCTCGCAGAATTTGTTTAATTCATGTTATTAGAATATGCTTGATTAAAATATTTTTGCAGGATTATAAAATGACATATGTTGTAGTAATTATAAAAAACATATTTGAATACTAATGATTTCCTTTTCTCTGGAAATGATTACAGCTTAGCTGCAAAAATTTATATATTTTTTACTTTTTTTAAAAAATATCTGTGATTAGATGTATGTTCTTTAATTGAAATGTATTTGCAAAATAAAAACCATTTTTAAATGTAAAAACAAATGGAAGCATTAAAAGTAATTTTTAAAGAAATAATTGCTGTGAAATATAAGATATTTTTGTTAACAAATCTGTAATCAAAGAGACTTTATTTTCCATTTGCATATGAAAAACAAAACCGAAAAATCTCGAATAATAATGAAACATAAAAGTCAGATGTTTGAAATGATAACAAAGAACATAATGCTACTTCTTTTATACATTATTATTCAAAAATTATGGAGGAAGACTCCGTCATTTCCATTTATTTGCAACATGGGGAAGAAAAAAAAAACTAAAAAACTAGTTTCCTGTCATTGCACAAACGACTCAATTAGATGGAAGATAGACGATAAGGACGCGGGGGATAATGGTTCAATCATTTGGGCGCTCGACGTTTATAAACTTCTGTTCTTCTAACGTAACGACGTTTAATTTCTACGTTCAGTCGAGCCTTTATGACGGCATCAAAAACCCCTCTTTTAATCAAAGACTGCGTCGTTAAAAGGAAAGCCCCCAATATCCAGGTGCTCTCCCTGTACTTTTCCGGAAAACTTTTCAATTATCGAAGCTCCGGTTTATCTTTTCCGGGAAGGGAGTGAAGAGAAAGTGAACGGATGATCGAATAGGAAAGTTCTTATTCTTTTTTCGAATATCTTCGATAATTAATACTCTCAAACGTCCCTTCCCCCCACGCCACCCTCCATCCAACAACAAATTTGTCAGTGGGAAAAGTCTGAATCTCCTTTCCATTTATGCGGTTTTTACTTTCAACTTTCTAAACAAAAATTTCTCGTTTTCCATTGCCTCCTACAGTTTGATTTGACTTAACGACCTCTAAACTCGGATAAGGAAATACCCAATGATGACAAAAATAACAAAAGGCGAATAAAAGACAATCACCAATAAGAGACAAAAATCCAATCATGGAGAACTTTGGCGAAGATGACTCCCGTTCAATCGCTGATGACTTTGATATCGAGCCACGAAGAAGCTTTTTCAAACAAACACACCCAATGATTTCAATAAACCCTCCCCCAAATCTTCAGAACCCCTCCTTACCCGACCCTTCTCTGCGCTTTTGATTAAACCCGAGTCTCATCGCCGGTTTTGAGCAAAAGAAGAAGGGGGAATGAAAATCCAGTGGAAAAGAAACTCGAAGGAGACACAAGGGGGGCTTCTTTTGAGGGAGGGGGGCTGTATGCTCTTGATGAAGCGAAGGGCAATATTAATTGAGCATTGTCGTAATAATGAAACTGCCTTTATTGACGTGCGGAGCTAAAATATCAATCCGGGGGTAGTGGTGTCAGGCAGCGATAACACCGGCGGGCGCGTTTCTTTTGATGCCTTCCTACCTAATTATCCTGAAGAGATGTAATTAATCTTGGGAACATGTTGGTGACAAAGGGGTTCTTATCGGCAGAGACGGTTTAATCAAGCATGCTAAGTATTCGCGCAGGCGCCCTTTTGGAAATGGGCACAAAACTTTTATTGGGAGACACGTGTGTACCTGTGTGCACCCCCTCAATATAAAACTCTTCTCATCATTCGGGCTCCTCTCATAAACACAAAACTCCCCTTTCTATGGATATATACCCCCAGGGTGTCTTCGAAGGAAGTTCTTGGCTCATTTTGTAGGGACTTCCTAACGATGAAATAGCAATTCCGATTTACAAATGAGAACAAGGTATTGTTGAGTATGAGTCAGGAGTTGAGGTGAGTTATTTTCCCGGAGTTTAGGCAGTGTGTAGTTGATTGAGATTCGAGAGGATGAAATCGAAGAATTTTAGGCATGTCTTCCTATGCGTTAGTCTGATACTACGCAGTTTCATTGATGCTCACCCAAGAGGTAATATTCGTCTATTAGTGTAACATATAATATTAATTAAAAAATAATAATTATAAAAATCGCTTCAGCGTCACCTGATTCGTCAACTGCGCTGGGAATGAAATTAGATCAAATTTCAATTGATGCTTAATGTTATTTTGCGAAGATATTTTTTCTCTGAAAAATATCCATGTATACATACTTAAAAATATACAAAATGCATATTGCATTTTATGCAGTTTCATTGATGCTCAATCAAAAAAGGTAATTTTCCTCTATTGGTGAAACGAAAATATTAATAACAAAAATTACTTTAAATCTATGGGATTCGTCAACTGTACAGGGAATAAATTTAGTTCAAATTTAAATTTATGCTTGGTATTATATTTAAAGATATTTTTCCATTAAAAAAATATACCTATATATATTTGAATATATACATAATGCACATTGTGTTTTATGCTGATGCTCACCGCAGAGGTAATATTTATTTATTGACGTAACAAAAAAATTATTAAAATATTAAAATTATTATAAAATAATTTTAAAAAAAACACTTTAACACCAGGGGATTCCTCAACTTTGTGGGAATAAGTTTAAGTCAAATATAATTTGATGCTTAATATTCTAATTACGAAGATAGTTTTTCACAGAAAATGTCAATACATATATTCAAAAATAGATTTAACGAACGTTGTATTATAAAGATTAATCACTGAATTAAGTATATTTCTACATTTAAGGTCTCTGGAAATATACATAATTTAAATGCATTTCTTATATTTTTGTGAAATACCAGTTCGTCTATCTAATCTTATTGGTAATCTTTGGTCTTATCAAGAAAATTAAGCTAAAAATTTAAAATAAAATCAGCGTAATTTTTTGCAAAAAAGAAGCAAACTGATCTGATAGCAACATAATGTACTGGTGAGCGTGTAATAAAATATTAAATCAATAAGCATTAGTGCGGCTATTACGCATCATAAATTAAGAAGTTTAAGGCACAAAGAAGTATTTAAGCATTTGCAACGTTCTTTTTATTTCGTAAATTGCTGCTATCCATTCTGCAATAAATCACAAAGCTATATAAAACCATTAAATATAACTTTAAAAATGCAAAAATTATTTAATTTAAGTTATTTCTTTATAATTTAAGATAAAATTTAAGATATAGAATTATTAAGACAAAAATAAAAACAGCTGGAACTCAATTAAATTTAACCCTTCTTAATAGAAAATACTTTCTGTTTTACCATTAAGACACTTTTCTCATTAAGAGCACCTCAAAAACCTCAAAATGATACGATTTTGTTTCCACACTTAGTGTTTTTTTTTTCATTTATTATTCATGGTAAAACGAACTTTAAAATATGGTTGCAAGAAATTAAATTTTTACGGTAATTAAAAAAAAGCGATTTAACTTGTTAATTTTTTAAAGATTATTAAATATATACATAGGAAAAAATTAAGTATTGATATTTTTATTTACAGTAAATTAAAAATTTTATATTTTAAAGCACATTCTTTTAAGGCATATATATTAGAGATTTACTGTATTTTTTAATTCTACAACATGAGACTTTTTAAAAGTGTCTTAGTTGAAATTTGCAACCAATATTTTCTTCTCCTTGTTTAAATATAAAAATTATACAAAATTTTCTAAGCAATACATGATTTTAAAAATTAAAAATATATCTGTAAAAAAATTTAATTCTTTTTACTTTTTCATCAAAAAGTATTTTAAACTTATTTTTACAAGAAGTTTTAAGCAAAGTAGAAAATATATCCCTAATATGCCTATTATTTTAGCCTATTATAAGATATTTTTAGTAAAAATTAAATGAAAATTTTAATATCACTTAAAATATTACTATTGAAAAACTTACAATATTTTATTAGGTTCAGAAAATTATACATTTTAAAATCCTTTCTAGCAAGAAATGATATAGTAATCATTAAAGTCTGAGAAAAGAGCTTGTGAAGCAAATTTTAATAGGAAAAAAAAACTATTGATTAAGAAAACCAATTTGGTAATTGTTTAGTGCAAATATCATTACAGTCCTTATAACATCTTTACTTTTAATCATATTTACATTATTCCTTCCATGCTTTCAAAAACTATTATACAGATTAGAAAATATGTTTACTACAATTTTTTCCTAACTTAAAATTATATAATTTAATTTAAATGAATTGGAAATCTGTTTCTAGAAATAAAACCTCTGCAAAAACTAAATTTAAAAAATAATTATTAATATTTTCTGTAAAGGAACTTAACTAATCAAATCTAGTTCCTCAAATTATCCCATCAAATCAAAATTTTTTGAGGAAAAATATACAGTCGGACCTCTATTTAACGAAGTCGCTAAATCCCGATAATAAAGTCGTTATATGAAAAATTCGTTAAATGGAAAAGTAACTTTTGAAATACTTAAGCAACACAAAACGGGTTTTAACTTCTTAAACACTCGACATAATTAATATGGCACTTAATACACTTTTATCTTGCAAACTATAGTATATATTATTTATTTTATAAATCTTAACCATAAATGAAATCTGCATGGAAAGCAAGAATAGAGTAGAACATTATCCAGTGTTATACACTATCATGCTACATAAATTTTAAACTGAGTTGAGATAGTTGTATGTTGATCTCGATTTCTATTTTACAGTCACAACGAAAAATAGCTTAACTTCACAATGTGCAAAAAAATATTTTAAAATCCGTTTTCTTTGAAAATTATGGAGTTGTTCATTTAAGACTTTACTTTTAACAATATTTTACCGTTAAACGATTTTTGAATTGTAAATATTATTATTAATTCGCTAAGGTAATAATAATTATTATTAAGCTATGTAATGCACGGCAGGAATGACAAAAAAAAAACGTTTTTTTTTCGAAATCGGAAGACATGAATTTAGAAGAATCCCTCAAGAGTTCACTAAGGAATTTTAAGTAAAAATTAGCCATGCTTTAGAAGAAAAGTTAAAAATATATGAAAATCATAACTAAAGTGAATAGACATACTTCTTACTGTAAACACTTTCTTCACCTAGTAAACACTAAATTCATCTTCGCTAATAAATGATAAATTATATCTATAAATGAATAATAAAAGCTATTTTTTCCACCTTGAAACGCATGCTTATCTGGATAATTTGGAATCTTGTTTCATTCCTATGTATCCGAATTGGCATGAGATCCTCAGCTGCCATCAGTAGCGCTTAGTAAATTAACTTGAACAGATTTGAACTCTTGGATACCATGGTTCTTATAAATTTATTTTTCACCTTTACCTTATTTTCCACATTTCTACTGGCAATTTCAGAACTGCTTTGTTTTCACAAATCAAATCTGGAGAGACTTGAGATTGGGGTTTGAAACATATTGACTTTTTCCAACCTTTATAACTTATGAAGCGGTCACAGTGTTTACTTAGTCGAGTAGGAAAATATTGGCTTTCAGAAGCGTTTTCTGAAATCATATTTAGCATTTGCAATTTCTCCTGAAAATTCCATAATGGCTTATTAAAATACAATTGAGATAAGATTTTCTCCCTATTTCTATTGTTATCTAACTTGTTTCTATGTACTACTAAAAATAGAGCAGAGGTAGTCACTTACTCGAAAAGGTTTCAAAATTGGAAATTTCAAGGTGCATTCTTTATTTCAATATCAAATTAAAGAAGGTGACAGAATGTAATGCTGCATTAAAAATTTTAAAAAAGTATTCAAAGAAAGAATTACCGACCAATTTTGAGCTGAAAAATTATAAAATTTATAAACAAAGAAAATTTCTTGATCTTGTTAATTCGAAGATTGAATAAATCGAACATATCACCCCTCGGCAAGAACAGTGTCACAATCCTTAAGTGCAGCATTTGAGTAAAATCAACTTAAAGAAAACTATAAGACTTATTCTGAAATAGCACAAACTTCCTTAAAAATTCAGCTAATTATTTGCAGTGGTAAATTATTTTGTTCTCTATAGTAATGTGGCACTCTTGATGGAGATATATTTTTTATCGTCATTACTTCAAAATTGTTGCTTTTTAGTTTGTGTCAATTTTCTTGCCGAGGTGCCATATGAACAATTAATCTTGAGTTTAAAATTTAAAAAAAAACGTCGACTGCAATTGATCTTAAATTCTGAACTTAATTCAGTTAAAAGGGTTTTATTTTGTTTAAAACTACGTTACTCAATAAGAAAATAGTTCTTTATATTGAAATTTTTTACCGAATAACACATGAGGTCAAAATACAGGGTGTTTATAAATTCCCGAATCCATTTTGATGTTTAATAACTCATAAAATAATAAAGATAGATTAAAATTAATAACATAAATGGTTAGATAGACTGAAAAAGATTCATGACCCTTGTCAATGGATCTTTTTTGGTAAATTCTTCTGCAATTTCTCTGTGGTTGCACTATCGATTTCGTTTCTATGAACTGCCATAAAATCTGTGCTTTCTCTTGTGGTGTATGCATTCTCCTTAATATCTGCTCGTATAAATCATCACATAGAACACACACATCAAAAGTAAACATAACATTGCAATAGTTGCCAAAAACAAAAGAGAGAAAAATGCAATTAATAAGCAGACGATATTGAGAAAAGTACAGATATTTAGACTGGAAATGAAATTATCTGAAATTAACCACACGCGCAGGCGATATTTACAAAAGTAAAAATATTCAAACCTGAATAGGAAAATATATGAGTTATTCCATCAATAAATGCCATAAGTTTGTTTATATCTTCATTATTTTATGAGTTATTTAACATCAAAATGGGTCCGGGAATTTATAAACACCCTGTATAATTCACCTATTTCATGTTCGATTTATATACAAATAAATTAATCTACGAAAACTGTTGTATTTATTGCTTAAATAATTAGTACAATTGTGTCATACATTTGCTACATCATATTGTTGAACAGTTAGTCATTCTGAATTACACAGTCAACAAGTCAATGGTTCTACTTGAGCACGTTATCGGATCTTTCTGTCGTTCCCAAGTAGACAAAAGGTAATGTCAAAAAGCTTCTTATCGAGAGTGTCTTACAGATTAATCAAACAGTTTCGTTAAATTATTCTCACCAAGTGTTTTATGAATATATCAGTTATTTCGAATTATTTCCTTATTATTTTTAAAGGGGCATTCTCGAATATTTAAATCAACTTTTATTTCCCATAATTATGTATACAATTCGGAAAACTTGAAACTTAATGGATACATTTCATTTAGGAATAAAAATTTTGAAAATAACTTAAAAACTTAATTTTATTTCATTAAGGTTAAAAGATTTTTGAAAAGGTTTTGAGTATTGAATATCCGTCAAAATTTTTAAACTTTATAGAATAGCAATCTGTTGTTTTTAAACGCATGGTTTAGAAAATCTATAAAATCATCGACTCGGATGATTATGATGTAATGATGTATTTACAAAGCAAAATTAAATTACATTAAAAGATTTTTTTTGTTTATGTATTAAGCTATTTTCTAAACCTTACTAGAGAATATATTTCACTATGTTTCTCTAAAGAATATATTTCTAGAATATATTCTAGAGAATAAAGAATATATTCTAGAGAATATATTTCTCTATGTTCTTCCCTGTGCCACTATTGATACTATGTGGGTGAAAAAAATTCTGGTAAAATTAATGTACTGCATTGTAATGATATTTCTGGTAAATAAATAAATAAGAAAATAAACACAATTCTGGTTGAAAACGCCGAAATATAGTACTTAAACATTCATTTCGTTATTTTTCTACTCATATGGTATTAGTTTACAGGAAATTCTAGTTTTTAAAAGTATAGCTTTTATTAAACCTCAGTTAGTAAAATATGCAAAAGTGATAAGTGAATTTAACCGAATAAATTTTTTTATGTCAAGATTTAAGGAATCATGATAAAATTACCGAATTTTTACAGTCTTATTAAATTTTACCAGAAATTATGAAATCATATTTTATTGTTAATTTTACCTAACTCATACTTTACCTACTAACCTTTGGTAGAATTTATCGAGATTTTTAGTGTTCTCTTAGAGCTAGAAATACGGTAAATTATACTTTATTCTAGCTTTGACCAATTTTTTTTCTCAGAGAAGGGATATTTTTTTAAAATGTTGATGTATTTTTCGTATTAAATTGTTATAGCACTTGGACTGGTTCAAACTTGTTCACTGGTTAATGCTCAAATATCGGTTCGTTTTTAAAGATATACGTTAAAAAATGCTGTATCACTCTGTATTTCCACACTTTCGTTGAAAAGTAAACAAAAGAAAGCGCATTTTCAGTCCTTTTTTACAGCTATTTTAACTGAATCTTGCTATTTCTTTGAAATTTATCGAGTAATGCTTTTATCAACACTATGTAACTCAATAGCTGTCCCCACGCATCTTTTTTTTCATATTTTGAGATGGTTTTTCATAATTAATTGTTGAGGAACTTGGACAGGTTGTCCTCCGAAGGGACTTATTGGCAAGTCTTATTAAGCTACACATGGTATGCTATTGCTGAAATATTGGATCCTTCTCAATGACTGACATGTTTTAAAAAACGCTGTATTTCCCCACTTTCACCGAAAAGTGAATGAAATAAAATCTGTACAATCCTTTTTTACTAGCCATTTTAATTAAATCATTCCCCATTGTTGAAAATTCATCAAATATTTATTTTTTCAATATGATTCTTAATAGCTGTCACCACGCATATTTAACATTATTTTACTAAAGCTAGTGCAAGCACGCGAACTTTTTTCGAATAGGTTCGTGAAAGTTTAAAAAAAAATTTTTTTTTCATTTCAAAATTTTCATTTTCTCATCATGCATTATGGTAACTTATGAGGATGAGTTAGAAAGAAAAGCGTGTTTCACTTAGATTGTATTATGAACGATTTCAAACATGCCATGGTTTGCTAATACATATTCAAAATCTTCGAAATCTTTACAGGATATGAAATTACTTCTTACTTTCAAATTCGTTAATCATCCGTGATATAGCCAATGTTCTGAGTTGTATACTGGGAAAGTTTCTCGTTAAACAACAAAAAAGATCCAAAGCAAAAAAAAAATTTTTTTTCCTTAAAAATTTAATATAACTATATATTGCATTATTTTACTTATTAAGATTTAGACTGAGGCTAATTTTTTTGTATTGTAAAACCTATCTGCGTTTCAAAATATATTGCCCTTACATTCACCTATGTTTTATTTAATTGGTTGAGAAAGGTGGATCTTTAATTCCATTTCATGTTAAAATGTTTACTTTTAATGTGCTTTTGCTAGGAAGATAATTTTGTAACACTTGCAAATTTAAACATGGACAATTTGTGGAATTGTAGGTCCTTAACATTCGTTTAATTTTAAAGACAATTGTATAAAAAAAATTATGATTTTAATGTATGTTCCTAATATAAAATTCCTCTTTTTTAATATCTGTCTTAAAACACGTCTTTATACTAAAGATTTTAATTTGACATGTATTTTTAGCTATAGATATTTCAAATTAAATGTGTGAGAAAGAAAGTTTTGTCATATATGTGCAACTCAAAATCATGTTATATAAGATGTACAAGAGTGTCCCTGAAATTACTTTTTTACAATAACGGATAATTTATAATAATATTTCAATAATAATAAAAAATTCATTTTAGTTTTGATAGCGAGGAAACATCTAGTTCTATTTGAATCAACGTATATAGAAACCGCTTCAGCCTTTCTAATTACCTTTTGAGAGAGTTAAAAAGAAAACTATTTCCTACATCTCTTACAGTCGAAGGAAAATGCGAAAAAATTATGCATACTGTAGTGCCTAAGCCATAAACATTGTTTAATTAAGATTCTTTATTGTTCACTGTCATGAAAAGCATTCATGAATAAGTTTTAATTAAATTTTTTAAGAAGTCATTAGCAGGACTGAAATCGTTTTTGTGTAAAACGATTCATATAGTTGTTTTTTTCTAAGTATTAAAGTTTAAGAATTTAAAGCTCGATTTTTGTGATGCAGAAATTAAAGCTAGAGTGATGTTCCTAAAACAGATGTGCATTGAAATGTTATAATTTTAAATTTGCAGCTGACATGGAGCCAGAATTCGTCGGGGAACCAACGAATGTAACAGTAACAGAAGGTTCCACTGCTTATCTAACCTGCGTTGTAGAAAATTTAGGATTCTATAGGGTAAGCAGTTAATTTCATTTCATTAAATACTGTTTTTTTTATTCCTTTTGAATGTATTTAATTTTTCGTAAGTTTTAAATTATTTTTAGTTGTTTTAGATACTTGTTTAATTTAGATCTGGGTTGCTTATCTAAAATTGTCTCTAACAGCATGAAGTAAAACTATCACATAACTTTAAAACCATCTTTTCGTGAAAAAATTGCATATAATTTGATAAAAAAGCGAAGTACTTTAAATTAAATATTAAAAAGAAATCCATTCTTTCAAAAACCGTGTAGAAAATCTAAAATCGGGAGGAAAACTCTTTTTCATTGTTTCTTTTTCTAAATGCTTATGTACGCATGCCTTATACTAAAAGTTTTTATTAAGAAACAGTTTTTATGTAGTTTATTCAAATGTCCAATTTGTTCAAATGAATAATTTCTTACGAAACACAGACACATTTTAAACTGCGGTATCTTTAAAATTGGAAATTTAGCGCTACATAAAATTCCAAATATCAACGAATAAAATATGAAATGATTAAACTGCTTTTCACGATCACACTTCTTTAAACATTCCCCTCTCAGAAAATACCAAGCATTTGAACGTTAAGTAGTCATATGTATTTATCATTCAATCAATATGTATTTTTTATTGTAACTTGTATGGTAATCCAGATAAAAAAAAATATGTGTCATTGCTTGTTATTCCCGAAACTGATGATTTTTTATTTCTAATCAGATTTTATGAATGATAATCAAATAAGCCGGTAATATAAAAACAGATTTATTAAATAAGGGAAATGACATTTTTCTTTAATCGTCGACACAGAAATTTATTAAAAAAAGAATGAAAACAAAAAATCTTTATATTTTTCTTTAATCCTCGACTCAGAAATTTATTTAAAAAAAGGTGAAGAGAAAAAAATCTTCCTATTCTCTTCATTGGCATTGTCACCTAGGCATTGCATGTCATGTCTAAAATACAGAATAATTTTCGTATTTCATACTTTGTTCAAACATACCATCACTTTTTAAATTACCGATAACATATATATTATTTATAAAAATTAAAAGTTCGCAAAAAATTATACAAAAAATATACATATTAAGATTCAAAAAAGTAATCTATAGGAATTCTTTAAAACTAAATATGACTTAGTGTTTGTAAATAAAAAAATATTGCTAAGAAGTGTTATTTTAAAATAGAATAAACGGAAACAAAATATGGGTTCCTTGTTTGATATTCCCAACACGGATGTTTTTTATATTTCCAATCGAATATTATTGATTATAATCAAATAGGCCAGTAATGTAAAAAAACTTAATGAGGAAAATTGAATTTTTCTTTAAGTATCTACTCAAAAATTTATTTAAAAATATAAAATCTAAAAAAAAATTCTTTCTCCTCTCCTTTTTCTCTGCAATTATCATATATTATATTTTTTAAGGTATATGTCTTTGTAGAAAATACTAAGGCATTATGTGCATCGCCTAAAATATAATTTTTTTTTTTACTTCATTCTTTGTCCAATAATACCGGCACTAAATTGTCGGTAATATAAATTATCGTCAATAACAAATTTTAAATTGTCGGCAACATATATATTAGCGATAATAAGATAATGATAAAATGTGTGCTTCTTTTCATAATTCATGAAATATACTACTTAAGATATAAAAAGTTGTCTATGAACATTCAGTAAAACTGAAGTATGACTAATGGTTATTGAATAAATGAATATTATTAAGCCATTAAAATATAATAACTTATTAAATTTTATTAAAATAGAATTATTAGAGTTAAAATAGAATTATTAAAAATATATTAAGATAGAATAACTAAATAAAATAGAATTTTCGTCACTCCATTTTTTATTTTACCTTTAATTAAATTCAATCAATATATATAACAAAATTTAATTAACATGAAGAACATGACAAAATGGATTAATTTTTTTTCTAATTAAATAACTTGACAGCGCGCAGATCAGCGAAGTTTTTTCTCGTGAGAAAGGTGGCTTGGTATATTGCAAACTTTAAAATAAATTTCTTAAGCATAATAAAAAAACATACAAAACTTCCTGGGATAACAATTAGTAAGTACATTGCATCAAAACTATTAATAATTGCATGTAAGCTAGCTAACATAAGACTTAATTATTCATATGATATACAAATTATATTTTACAAGAAACATAACGATTAATTTAAACAACTAAATTGAATTAACAGAAATAATAATTTCATATTAAACAATAATTAAATACTAAGAATTATGAATTTGTAACAATTTAATCAACGGTTTTAATATTTTGGACATTGGGAGCATCAGAAAAAGGCATGAACAAATACATTAATATCTAAGAAAATAAAGGATAAATAAACTATATAAAATCAGCGTATCATTTTGCCTGCTCATCTTTTTGCATTTTATGAATATAATGCACAAACAGCAGATGTAAAAAACACATAAAATGATATACATAAAATAGCATATAAATAAAGTATATAATAAAACATGCGAACGATATGCGTAAAAAATGGCTAAGAATATATAAAAAGAAAACTATTTCCTACATCTATTTACAAAAGTAAAAATATTCNCATCTTTTTGCATTTTATGAATATAATGCACAAACAGCAGATGTAAAAAACACATAAAATGATATAAAATGATATACATAAAATAGCTTATAAATAAAGTATATAATAAGACATGCGAACGATATGCGTAAAAAATGGCTAAGAATATATTTGAAGAAGCACATGAATAAAATATTTTAAAAAATGATGCGTAAAATATTTAAATATTTCACATGATTAAGACATAGAAAACAACATATAAACATTCGTTGAAACTGAAGTATGATTTATAGTTAGTAAATAAAACTTTTTTTTTTATCTTCTAAGATATTAGTTAAAATGAAATACAATTTTTCGCCTTTCAGATTTTTTACTTTGATATTAGAAAAGAATTAAATGCCAGAAATGATGAATGATGCTTTTCTCATTGATTTTCTAAGTTAAAGACAAATGCGTGCAATTTCTGTGATGAGTTCTATAGTTTGGCGTATTGGAAAATTTAATTAGCTTTGAGATAAATTATTCCGCAAGGCCGGTTTCCTTATTTTGTCTTATAAATAAAACAATGAGAAAAGTCACTATGTTAGCTATGTTTCTGAGTAGAAATTAATAGCAATTTATTTATTCATCAATTCACTGAATGCTTTAATATTGTTTGCTTGCATATTTGTTGATAACTTTTCTGAGCCATTATTGATTTTATGCGTTTACTTAGATGTAATAACCAATTATTGCTTTCATTTAGTAGACAATTATTTTAAAACTGAAGCTTTTGTTTCAGTTTTAGATAATGAATTTATTTGCTTTATGAATATTAAGATCTTAGTTAGCAAACTAAATTACTTTACCTTTTAATTATGTTTCTTACTCATTTTTTTTAGATTGTTTATGTTTTGTCCTTAAGCGTTAATTCGATAAATGAGTAAAACTAGCATGCTTGCATTGTTAAAAGCAAATAACGCTGACTAAAATGATATTTTTAATCTATAAATTGTTTCTTTTTTATAATTATTTAGGAAATCTGACTGAAAAATGACACATATAATTACATAAGATGTTCCGCATTGTACGTTAATTAACAACATAAGATACTAAATAAAATGTGATATTTTTAAATGTACAAGGTTTTTTCATTGCACATTATTTGACAATAACTTATAATAAGCAAAATATGATACATTTCAACAATACAAAGTATAATTTTGCAAATAGTTAATAACAAATAATAATAACTAAAATATTATGCTCTTGATTGTGCAAATTATTTAAACTATACAATACATAAGAACAAATTAAATTAATAGAAATAAGGCATTTTTATTTTATAAAATTTTGACATTTTTGTAATTTAACAAAAAAGAACAATATATCATATTTTAAATGTAAAAAAATTCTGACAATAAATACGTTTAGCAATATTTATAATAAACGTGACTAAAATATACAAGAAGATTTTGTTTTTTGCGTTTCAATTAATTACAGACAAAATATGGTTGCTTGCCAGTAAAGTAGCTATAGGCAGCTGAAAAAGAATTGACTAAAGTTTTTTTCTTATTTCATAAAATAAATCCAAATTTAGTTTCCATATACTTCTCAGTTAACGTAGCAGCCTGGCGCTTGCCATGGCTATTTCAAGTAGATTTTACAAGGCATACTTTCGACCTTCAACTGCTCTTCAGTTTTTGTCAACAGTACTAATCGATTATTTTCCAAGCTCTTTAACCATCAAATTTTGTCTGCCTTTTCTTCGAATGCCTGCTGGTCTGGTACTGAATATTTTTTAGTGTTGTGATTTTTATGCATCCTGATGATGAGTCCTGCTTATTTGAGCCTTTTTAGTTAAAGGAATTAATGATATATAGCTCTTTATATGAGTAAATTGGATCTTATGGATCGTATTATTACTATATATTTCTTTTGTATATCACTGAATATACATTATAAGATCTTTCTTGCAAACGCACCAAACGTATCATCATTGGCAGCATAGTCTAAATCTCCCATAGATATACTAATCCATTTGAGACTTTGAATTATCGATTTGATTATCATACTCAAAATTTAATTTTCAACTTCTGAAAAATATTAAATATACCAAGATTTTTTTTCTAAATTTAAACAAATAAAGTTGCAATTATCTTACAGTATGAAAAAAATGTGTTATATTCCCAATTAAAAGAATAATGAATCTTATTTTGTTTTTCCTAGAATTAAAAATTTCTGAGTTCTTTTTCCACTATGTGATCTTCATGATATATTTCTATGACTCTAAAATAATATTTTAATAAATGACTAAACAAGCAATTTTCATAAAATTCGGAATATAGATATTGTTACAAAATTTACAAAATTAGTTGCAAATTAGTAATAATAAATAAAAATTCTTAAACTAAATCGAAATAAATAATACTTTATAATAAGTATAATAGTTTTAATAAAAATATTAATTATTAAATTAGGTATACTTTGATTATATGTGTGTAGATAAAATGCTTGAATATAATAAAAGATAAATACATTTTAAATACTTTATCAAAGAGGAGCATATAAGTGAACAATATTTTTTTACACCTGGTGTTTTGAAATTTGCGTTTCTTAAAATGGTTGAAATCGTTTAGGAATTTATTTTAGTAGTTACAAATAAGTAAACACGTTATATAGCTATGAAAGTCTTTTGGTTGAGATTTATATAATAATAATTTTGCAAACATATAAAGATCCATGTTTGAATTTACATGGAAATACAATAAATTCAAATTCATATGAATAATAAAACAATTTCGTTTACAAATTTAAAATAAATTATTCATGCTATTGACTCAAAAGATTTGACTATATTTGAAGTTTTAATAAAACATGAAGAACATTTGTACAGAAAAACTGCTTTATAAAGTAAATGTGTCTATAAAAAAAAAGAAGCTGCGTAATAATTTTTTAACGAAACTAAGAAGCTATCTACTCCGTGCATTTGTTTCTTCGTTACATATTTTTTATTTGTTTTAAATTTTTATTGCTATAATGCACAATATATTTCAGAGAGATAGTTAATTCGAAAAATGCAAGATGAGATTTTTTAAGTACAAAGTGGTAGAATGAGATTAAAAAAATATTTTCATTTAAAATACCTGCTCATTTTTCGAAACATCAGATTTATATACTAAAAAACAACATTTGAATGGTATCTCAAAAATTAATTATGAAATATATTAAAAAGAAAATTTAGGTATATTAGGTATATAAATCTTGATTATAAGAAAATTTAGGATAAAAAGACACGTGAGAGCTGAAAAAAATTACAAAAGAGGAAACACTTATAATTTAATTAGTTAAGTAAGAAAAACTTTACATAAAACGAGTATAAATTTTTTTAAAAAAAGCGATTAAATGAAAACAATAAATTTAATATAGTTTACTTAGTATGCTTAAGTAATGCAAGTAAAAAAAATTTTGTGATAGTGAAAATATAATTTGTATATAACACTTAAATATGTATGGAAAAACAAAAAAGAAACTAATTATAATTTCTATAAAGCTTAGAAAATATTTTAAATTACAAATAACATAACTTACTACAGTGCATTTACCAGGTTTATATAAAATTAAAATGCCAGATATAAATCGGAGTGTTTTACAGCTACCCGCAAAAATGAAAAATGACGTAGGGGAGTGCCGGGTACCCCCGCCCACTGTCAATTTCATATGTAGAGAATATTTTTTCAAGTCAATGAGCCATCGGACATTAATTGTTATATTAAAAAAAGATTATTTTCAAAGTTTCAAGTATTTATGCTGCTGGTAACATGGCAAACAATAGTTTCGAAAATGTGTTGAATACAGTAGTCAATTTTTTTAAATTTCAATTTTTTTAAGTTAAACTATTCCTTTTTTGGTTTATTCTTCTCGCATTATTTAATTAGATGATAAAACAATAGAAACATGCAAAAATATTGATTATTACTCAATATTATACACAAATATAAGCAATACTCCTTAATATCGACTCTCCCCTATACCATTGGAATTGACAAAAAAAAAAAATTGAATACCAGAAATTAGTATAAAACTAAACCGAACTATCTTCCAAACTATAATAACTTGAAAAAATATCTCAACTGAAACTAAATGAAATGTAATGGAAATTCTATAAGTAAATAAAAACTACAGCACGAATCTTTAAGGATTAAGAAGTAAATAAGCAGTGATGTTTGATATATTTCTTGTTAATTTATGCCTTGTTTGTTTTCTCAATTCAGGAAAAAAATACGCAAGAGCTTTAACTAATAAAAATAGGATAAGGGATTTAATTTTCCGATAGAATTCAATTAATCCCCCAGTAACAAAATAAATATTTGTAATGGAAGGAAAACTGATAATTGAGACTTTACTGTATTGGTGTAACAATCTCTTTCCTCTAATAATAAGTAGTTAAATAAAAGTATTACTGTTAGCGCAGATAATTCAGGGTCGATCAGTGATTGTATCCAGTTGGTTACATAGAAATTAGAAGAGTATGTGCGTGTGATAATGGAAAGCGTAGGAAATATTGAAGCCTTTTCTCGTTTTCTATTTTATTCCTTATTGTTCCTTTTTATTCTAGTCATGGGGGGATTTCACTGTTGAGTTCGGCTCATAAAAAATAAAAGTAATTTACAGATTTGACCGAAAATATTTAGTTAATATATGTAGCTATACCTCAAATACTTTTATCTTCCATTTTAGCATCCAAATGCGAATGCATAAAAATAATTGTATTCATATTCATATCAAGGCACATGTAAAACTATAATCTCTTACTGGACTGTCTTATGGCGACTGTAATATTTAGTTAATTTTAAGTTATAAGAACACAATTAACGTTAGAATTTAATATCACTTTTAAGAAATGTCACACACGTTTACTACATAATTTTTTTTGTTTCCTTATTTTATTTATTTACTCAAATGAGAAGGATAATATTTGAATTGAGATCCTTATGCCAAGTGATAGAAATAAATAAGAGTACAGTTAATCATTTAAAACTTGCAGTCGCATTCTTTTAAGAAAATTCTATTACAAAATACTTGAAAACGTGATTGTTTTTTTGTCTAAAGCATAAGGAGTTTAATGTTTCCGATGTTCATCTAATTGCATTTTAAACGTGTGAAATTTTTTCCTCAGGTGGCATGGATAAGGGTCGAAAGCCAGACTATACTTAGCATTCACACCCACGTGATCACAAGAAACTATAGAATTTCTCTGGATCATAAGAACCGTCAGAATTGGAATCTGGCAATAACAAGCGTAGAAGAGTCTGATAGAGGACAGTATATGTGCCAGATAAATACGGTGCCCATGATGAAGAGAGTAACTTATCTTGAAGTTCTAGGTATTAAATCTTCATATTTTTATTTTTATATTCAGTGAATCCAAAAGCCACATTAACAAAATTTTGCTCACAAAAACGTCAGCAAATTATCAGGCAGGTAAACCATGCAATATCATGCGAATAGGGCATGAAGAACCTCACAGATGTGCAGAGAATTATGACAAATAGCTGAGAGAAATTTTTGCAAGGACAAACTATTAAGGGAAATATAATTCAAAAAGTCTTACGGAGAATAAAGCATTACACGTGTAAAATTTTGTATTTAAAAAGTGCTTCAAAGAAAATATGTGAGATTTTGCTCCTTCGCAACATGAGGCTTCTGCAACAACTTGTTCTTAGGATATTTTGTCCATGAGAGAATTTTAACAAATAATTATAATTACTTCAAACTTTTATTACAGTAATTTATTTCTTATCATATTTATAAATCATTTCAAATGCAGTAAGAGTGATAGATGAAAGTTTACCTCTGGCTTAAGCTATTAGAATCATCAAATAGGCACGTGATCATCTTGCTTATCTTCGTCCAGTAGGTTCAAGCAATTTCGTAAGTCGTGTTGCAGTTTCTTTACTCTGAATTCATAATCAGCGATTCTAAAAACAAGTAGGTAACCATATTTATGTCAAATAGATTTTGTTTACCAGTATCTGCTATACTGCCGCAATTAGGCTCTTTTTGCCGAGAACTCAAGGACAGTTAAGGCTATGTACAGTGCGCAAAGGAATAAACGGACCACCTTGAATAGTTCTGATTAAACGATCGGATCTTCATGTTTTCGGATTCAAACTTAATGACTCAAGGGCGTGACTTCAAATATGCTAATTAATAAATGCTGATCTGACACAAAAACGTACTTTCTCCATATAAACATACTTTTTTTCAACGGATTTAGATTTCTGACCCCAAAAATATAGGGGGTAGCCGCAATCTAGGAAATATGGTTCCAATAGTTTGATCAAGAGAACGCTGCAAAGTTTTGTCCCAATAATTTTAATTCTACTTTTTGCATATTTCGCTATATCTCGCGAATTTTTTAAGCGAATCAAAAACAGTTTTGCACGCAATTATAAAATTCGTTTATCCACAGATAATGCAAATCAAAAAAAACTTTTAGTAAATATTTATTATTCATTATTTTTTTTAATAATGGTCGAAACAATTTTGAATTGTAAGATAAATATTTCTTTGTATCAATTTGAAATATGTAATTTTACTTATCAAAATACAGTATTTGAGTGAAATCAGTCAACTAAATCTTGAGAAATCGAATCTTTTTTTATTCCATGAACACCTGGAGAGTGACATTTCGGTCGTACAGGCATCAGAATGGCAGATATGTAGGCCACTTTCTCAGGGCACCATATTAGATGGGCCAACGTTGCTCCCACAGTAAGAACAGTTAGTACAGAGAATGAAAGAGCATACATGGCTTGCCCAGGATTCAAACCCAAAAACCTTTCTGGTGCAAAGCCAGTTTCCTGATCCCTACACAGGTTGATCAGCAAAAGTCGAGTCTTAAATATTTGACATTTTTAAACCCTTTAAGCTATTAAGATTGAGTCCTTGAAGGGGAAAATCTGATCATTAGATCAAAAGTTATTCAGGGTGTCAAAAATTTTTTTGGTCCTCTGTACATCGGCTGGACTCTGTACATTAGACTCTGTTTTCCGAAATCTCTGTGACAGTTTTGACTATGCATCCTCCATTAGGCTCTTTTACAGATATCTCTGTGACAGTTAGGGTTATACCATATTTCCATCACTTGGCTCCTTTTATCAAAATATTTGTGACAGTTTGGGATATGTATTCGCCATTAGGATCCTCTTTCCGAAATATCTGCTTCAAATTATTTAAATCACGAGATTAAATGGGTATGTAATAGACGTCTGAAATTTCCTAAAGCATCTTTCTATGTTTGGTTAGAAATAATATTGTATGAAATGAATCTGTTATTATGATTGATTTGTCGAAAAGAAAGTTTTTGCCAACACAAGAAAACGACTGCATTTAAGCTAACCTGCGTCGTCGATATGATAACTTCCGTTAAAAACTTTTCTTCATACTTCTGAAAGGAAGCGAAATTTTTGTCCACTTAAACACTAGAAATAAAATACCGACAAGAATAGAAATATAATACCGATACTTATGAATATCTTTATTTTCAATTTTAATGAAAAATGAGAACCATCTGCGTAAATGAGCTTATCTTTTAATCTTGCAGAAATCGATGATAAGACTTACTTATGCTTAATGTTTTATTCAGTTATATTTTATTCTTTTTAAATAATTGATTGTTATATTCATTTTTTTCATAAAAATGATAATGAATAGATTTTTAGAAATAGCTTTGTTTGAAATAAAGAGGATAAGCCTAAATGAATATTAGCTAAATGAAACATGATATCTTATACAAATGCGAAACTCTACTGACGTGAATTATCGCATAACGTAAGTTTGATATCAACATGAATCCCTACACGGTTTGAACAATAATTAATTACCTTCTTTTAATTGACTATTAGAAAGAGTTTCTCAAATAAGCATAATTTTATGTCTTAAAACTAATCACATTTTTAGAAAATATTTCCTTTCGACAGGAAAACACAATTTCTTTCAAAGAATATTTTATAATCATTCATTCGAAGGTAAAATAGAGTACAATTATTTTTTTATATCAATATAATTTGAATTTCTTCGAGAGTGGAATTAGGGATTTATGTCTCTTAAAACACTAGGCACTAATCCCATGAAATTAGAATACTATTCCTCTAATTTGCGAAGCACAATAAGGACTATTTATGTATTCACAACCATAATTAGCAGAGCAAAGGCATTTATTAATATGTCCGAGATTAAGAACTTGCATTTGCTGTAAAAGAATGTATTTAAAAATATTCTTTAGAACATGTTTCTGGAATTCTTTTCCGGAAAAGTAATCCTCTGTTCTCTTTATTTAACAGCAATTCTTATCGTCTGCCGTTCCCCATTTAATTGCTTTGGTATGTTTGTCTTTACTGAGCACAGAAAGACAGGAATCCGAAAACATAGCCCCTAGAAAACAATTCTCCAGCGAGGGAGTGCCACAGTTCAAACACCAATAAACAGCGAAATTCTCAGAGCTATACACGAATGAAATCGAAGCAATGCATCAACGTCGAATGTTCTAGAACTGCTCACTAGAGATTGGAAAATAAATCGCATGACCGTTTTAAGTTGTTTTACTAGCGAATGAGCGCGTATCTAAACATCTGTTGAAAGTATTTGAAGTAGCTATTTCCTCTGCGGATATAAAAGATGTTTGTTTGTTTGTTGTTGCAAAAACAAAACTCGGTTCTTAGCGCAGTTGGTCTATTTTTATTCCGGAAATGCGAGCAGATGTTTTCTCATACTCTTTATTTGCAACGCTTATTGCTAAACATAAAAGATTGTATTTAAAAAAAATGATTGGTGCTTTTTATGTTTATTATTTGTTTTTCTTTCTAAAGTGTTGATAGATGAAAAACCATCCACTACTTTCGGGTGATATTGTATTATTTATAATACCTGAATGTTGAATATAAACAAGAATTTTAAGTTTGTTGATAAAACAACGAACCATGCATACAAAAACGGTTTTTGATAGATAAAAGCAAAATAAAGCATTTTAAGTACGATAAAAATGCAATTTGAATTTTATGACGTATAAAATCCTGTTTCTGTTTATATCGCGAAAAAAATGAAAGATTGGACACTTTTTGCTTTAGAGTAAAAAATTGTAAAAAGCTGTTGAAAATTATATAGTTAAAGTATTTGCAGAGTTTATTATTTTGCGCATAGCCATAGACTATAATACATGCTGTGAATTTAAATGTATGTCGAGGACGCTTAAGCAATCTCCTAAGAAAAGACGTAAAGTGAATGCTATTAAACAAGTGTATAAATTCTCTGAAGCAATAATCATGCATTAATATACGCCTTCTAGTAAATAAATATTGTAAGAATTGACGTCTCTATCTCATAATTAGTACAAGATATATGAAAACATAAATTATTTAAGTAAAAACTTAATATCAATTTAATAAACCAAGTAATTCACGAGAATGAATTAGTAAAATACATACGATCTGTTTTAAAGATTTTTTTTCAAAACTTGGAGGAAAAAAAATTTAAAGTATTCTTTTCATCCTTAGATATTTTTTTCGATTTTCACATTAAAAGTGTCGCGTTGTTTACAGTATCGGAACATCTGTCTATTTAAGGAAAGAGTCTGGATCTGTCGGCTGCTATGGAAAGAGGAAAAGTTTTTATTTTAAAGATTAAGACTATTTCTTTTATTAGGGTCGCAACTCTGTCCTAAATATGGAACACACTTGCCTACTTGAAAAAAGTTTTGCCTTGACGATATTAACCACCAGTGCACTAAGTAACTGGCAAGAGACAGAAAATACAATTTTCTTCGATCATGTTTTCTTTTTTTTTTTTTTTTTTTTTTATNTTTTTTTTTTTTTTTTTTTTTCGATTTCAGTAACATTGCAGTTTTGATCAAAATGCTTAAAGTAAATGAATACATTACTTTGAAAGCCATGTGTTTTTCGCATTACTGACTGCTATTCTCAACCACAATTAATACCCTTAGCTCTAACTCTATGCAGTTGTTTCTTCACCTGATTAGATTTTCAGATTTGTTTCTCTTCCTGAAGTATCTTAGTCTAAGATGACTTTCCGCTTCTATTCTTCATTAAGATTTTTTCTTAAAAATATAGTGCATATTATGAATAAAAATTATGATGAACTTAATATTAATAATCTGGCAATATGATGGCTTATCTGGCTAAACTGATCCATACTGAGTTTTTTTTCTTTGGCATCCATTTAATTTTAATTTTCTTTCTATATAAATTGAGCTATAGTTGTTGTTGTTGTCGTCGTCCATTAGGTGTGATTGTTCTTAATTTCCAGTGGCACACTCTATGGCCAAGAATTCTGAGACACCCATACGCCACACCCGTTAATCGGGTGGACACATTCATACATCCATTCCTTCATCCACATACCGTAATTTTGACTTGAACCAGAGAACGATCAATCTCCAATTCTGTACTCGCAGAGGTATAATTTGT